GTTTTAGTCCAACAAATTTGAAATATTTGTTCACACAGTCATTGCCAATTCTTTCAAGTACCTCATTTCCTATTGATATATTACAACTGTTGTGGTCAAAGTGCATATTTTTATTTCCTTATACTATATACTTTGTTTTGGAGACAATTAGTGTCAAATATTTTGCTTGAAAACCATTTTGCTGCTTTTTTTAGCTCAGTTTTCTCATATGAACCTGGAACTAAGCTCAGATTGGATAGTTTCATTGATGTAGCCCCTTCAGTCTTTATACAGATCCCGAGCTAAGCTCAGATTGCAAGCAATCTGGCATATAAGCATGACAGCTTAAGCTCTTTGAATATAGTTACTGATCGGAAGGAAAGTATGATGGATAGCAAACAGCCTTGTGTACAGTATATTCAGATGTTTGGTCTGTTAAAAAATGCCATCCCTAGAAATCATGTTTTAATAGGCTTGCTCCACAAGGCAGCATGAATCAGAAACTCAGGCTAAAGAATAACAGAAGAGGAAGGTTGAATTGCTATATGAGGCAGAAGGATGGCAGTAGTATCAAATATTATCAATTTTTTTTAAGCTGTAAATAATTTTTTCTTATACTTTAGCATTTCTTATTTAAACTTTTAAGCATTACACTAACAGGCTACAGGGCTGAGGACAGCTGCAATTGAGACACAGATTGAAGCATACCAGGACAATGCACTTTCTTCTAGCCCAGATGCATTTGACCCTCATCCTGGTCCTGTTCAAGCAAAAGCTAGGCTGGCTCCAGGATGGGTTACCAAACTGAAATAATATGATAATTTAATTAAGATTATCATTGTACAGGTGTGTTACACTTATTAACTTTAATCTGCTAATTAATAATATAAATATTACACAAGGGACATTGAGTAACTTAATTTCACTCTGTTTCGGAAATTTTATGTTGGTAATAATGGTCAAAAGGTGGTAAGATATCTATACAAAAATTCTTTTATCAATGATCTGTATTATTAATATTGTCATTAGCTACTTCATACTATCTTAGGAAAAACTATGGCCCTTTTATAGTTTTTGGCTTATGCATAAGAATTCTATTTGGTCTGAACATATACATCATCATGTATTAGTTTGTAAGCAGGTAAGAAAAAATAAAATTATTAAGTATATATATCATTCATTGTTTGTTAAGAGTGAATTAGAAAGGAGAATATGGAATATTATAAATGGAAAACCAATGTTTCCAGAATATTCTTCAAATTTGGTGAAAATTTCATAACATTTAAAATAAAACATATTAAATGATAATAATTATTTATTTTTGATTTTCTTTTTAATTGAAAAGAGTTAGTATGTAAAAAACTAATATTTTGTTTTGTTTGTTGACTTTTCATTTATTCATTGTTCTAAAGAGTAAACATTCAGCTTGATTTAGGGTTTCAATTTGGAATTCTGTTGCCAGCAATGACTGCTTTTTCGAGTGCCATTCCATTGTTAATTATTTTGCAAACAGGGAAGAATTAAATATTCCCGGACTGTAAAGGGAAAACCAAAGGGGTATAGGCTGAAACCTTAGCATTTTAGGAGTTGATCGAGACCCATGCGAGTTCTATCTGATGTTTCTGTCTAAAGAAATTGATATAAAACTGTCAAATTTATTCAAAAATCTATTTATATAAAGTTTTGTATAAAAATAGTAAGTTTAAATGGATTAATATCAGCAAATACACAACCAATCTGAAATTGACTATATCCCAGGGGAGTGTAAGAAACACAGGAGTACTTCTCATATTATTTGAATTTAATAATTTTTCATTTATAAAATATAAAATTGATACTTATTTGTATGTCAGTATCATTAACCAGAACTCATACAAATCGCAGTGCAGTATACTGGTCACATGATATGGACATATGTATCATATTATTAATTATATCTATTAAAAATAAAAAAATATTAAGTTCAAATAATAATAGGAGCAAGCCTAAGCTTTCAGATTGTTCATGTATTTGCTGAGAGATCTGTTTAAACCTACTATTTTTACACAAAAATTTATATTCATGTCTTGAAAAAACAGACAGACTTGTTTGTAATTGGATTTTCAAGATTAAGACCATTTTTAAAATATAAGTCCAATTTTAGGCGTAAAGATTTGAAACTAACAATTTTATAGGCTCTTAAAGTCTCCAACTGGTGAGAGTAATTTGGTAAAATAACATAATCTCTGCTTGCACAATTTTGAATAATGGTCTACAGACTTGCTTCAAATTGTATTTTCAAGATTTAGACCACTATTGATAGAACAATTTCCGATTCAATGGGTCATATTTTAGATCTAAAATAACAATTTTACAGGCTCTTAAAGATAATCCCTGTTTGCACAATATTAAATTCAATGTTATGTTACAGTTTATTACACTTTATCAAATACTGTGCAGAGTAGTGCCGATCCAATTTAAAGAATAGGCAAAATGTGTTAGCATTAGAGAAAATGTTTACATTTAAAAAAGAAGATGTTCGCAAAGAACCCTGAAAGCCTAGCAAATGTATATTTTAATAAGTGATAATTTAGGAAAAGCTTAAGTTGGAACACTTGATAGCAGCTTTCGTTATACTTGGATTTGGAATAGGAGCTGCAACTCTAGGAATAATAGATTGAATTTTTATGAAACAGTATAAATAGAATCTTTATAACTTTAGCCCCTAAATTCATTTGTCATAAAAGCTGAATTTTGATAAATTAGATTACCCTCTAGTAAAGACGCTTAATGAAATTTGTTATAACTAAAGTACTATTGGGTAGTATCTAGTACAGTACACAGGTCTGCTGCTGTAGTAATCGTAAATTGGCAGTACAGTGTAAACTGGGACTGCAAAGGTTTGTCCAGCTTGGATATTTGACAAAGATAAATTACTATTTTTAATTATAGTTAATTACATTAGTTTAATTATAGTATGGTTAATACTATATAAGCAATCTAGTCTAATTAATCTACAACACTGTTCATTTAATTCCATTTAAATCTATTATTATTTTCTAGTTTTTGGTTTGGAATTATACTTCTTTAAGAAGAATATTGTAAGATATAACTAATGTAATTCAAACAAATAAATTAGCTAAATGAAGTGGTAAAATTTAAGATTGAAATATATTTGGTAAACAAATGCTTCTAAACTTATATAAAAACATTTCCGTACACTCTTTGATACAATACAATAATTACAGGGTGCAAGCTTAACCCGACATAATCTGGTAGTTGGGAACGTAAATCAAGGCATAACTATCACAACTAGCACAACTAAAAATACTGTTACTATTGTATATTTTATTCTAAATGATAAAAACATTGCCTAAAATAAAGTGTCTGTGAACCCTGCTAGATGGTATTAGCAAGGACAGAAGAATATTATTTAACCCCTTCTTTAAGTACAATGCAGAAAATCTTCAGGGTTTAAACTAAGTTCCTGCTTCAGTCATGCATTATAGAACTTGGTCCATACAAAGCTTTTTTTTCTTCTTCTTTTTCTTCTTAGCTGGATCCTGTGCATCTTCTCAAAAAGTATATGTCACATTCTGGATACCACCTTGTGATCTGTGATATGGTTCAATTTTATCTATGAACATTCCTTTATTCTAATAAAAGGTTTTCCCTTCCCAGATTACATCAACTTTTGATCCAGAATCCATCCTTAGGTCATGTTAGTCTTCTCCAGTTCTGCATATTGCTTTCTGACAGGATCTCCAGTTTTCTTTTTTCATATTTTAGTATCTGTTGTGCTTTAGTGTATGTACTATGTTATGACTAGTGAGCTGCAAAATTAAAAAGAGTATGGAAAACAAGTTGGGAAATGACTTAAAAAAATTAATTGATTTCTGAAAAATCTTTAAATTCAATAATAAAGTGCGAAAATTAAATTTAAAATTTCCATTTTTTATGTTTTGAATATTGTTGTTTTCTGTGTGAAGATGACATTCATTTCAGAATATAACCTATTGAGTTAAAGCTTGCAATATATTGTTTTGGTTATTGGTTTGGTTTGGTTTGGTTCACAAGTAGGGCTGGGCACTTTCCGACTTTTTTAAAATCATTCTGTTCCATTCTAGAATGAGGGCCTTCAGCTGAATCGTTCGGTTCTTGTTCTTTTTTTTTCTATCGTTCCGTTCTCATTCCATTCCATCCTGTTCCATTCCGTTCTAAGTAGAAGAACAGTATTCCTGTTCCGCTCCATTCTTGGCGTTCTTAGTTGAAGAACGGTTGCATCCCTCTTGTTCTGTTCTTATTCAAGAACGTTTTCATCCCCCGTTCCATTCTTAGTAACAAACAATTACATCCAAGACAAAAGTTTTATAGAAAAGAGTTGTTTAAAAAGTAAAACAATTCTGATTTTTTATTAAAAAGTTCCTCACGGCTGTAAATAATACTTTAAATTATATTTTTTAATTTAGGGTTAAAAGAATAAGCTTAAATAATTTTTGGGCTGAGCGATGTATAATTTTGTGAGAGCGGGGGAAGGGGCGGGGGTGCTAATATGTTTAAAGTGGGGGGAGGGGAGGGGGGTCAGGTGATGAAATAAACAAATCTTTAACTATTTCTAGAGGATTTAAAACACATTAGTGATTTAAAATGCATTCCCATTTATAACAAGTTCTTGATAATAAGAACGCGTTAACGATTTTAACCGTTCTTTTCCAGCAATTACCGTTCTGTTCCATTCTTTTACTAATCATTCCAATATTTTTAAGAACGCGTTCTAAGCATTCGTTTTTTTTAACGATGGGATCGTTCTTGATCATTCGTTTGTTCGGGGAAGAACGATCATTCCACCAGGAACGCGCCCAGCCCTATTAACAAATTTTGAAATCAATTTTTAGTCATGGAAGAAATTAATTTTAAAACATTGTTTTTTTTTCACTGATAATCATAAATTGAACAACACAAAACAATCACTGAAATCGCATTAGCATTCAACAATATGCCGCTTCTAAAAGTTGTGAGTGCCTGTTCTAGCTTCAGAAAATGCATGGAATAGTTCAGTTCTGCAAAATGTGCTTTCATTAGATAAATATGTTCGTCAGAACATGTTTATCTAATGAAAAAACATGTTTCAAAAAAAAAATTTTTTTTTGGAGAGATTTAAATTTGGTCTATAAAGACCCCATGTACCCTGAATATATATTTAAAAATTTTGTAAAATTTATACAAATATACATCTATTCGTTTATCTAGATAAAGGTTATTTAAAATACTTTGAATGGTTACACCGTTACTTCCCTGTTTAAGCAAAACTTTATTGATAAAAGTAATATTGCAGTAAATATGTCACCTCTTTTTAATTTTAATTACCATAAGGTGAAAGGATAGGGCTAAGTGTCAGGTAATGACACTATTGCCCCCCCCCCTTCCTCCCATAAAACATTTAGGGTTAAGTGTTCCAAAGATTGTTGAAAAGGCTTGATATATTCAATCAAAATTACTTATAATTAACAAAAAGTAGAATTAATCAATTCAAATAAGTTTCATGATTTAAAAGAAACAAATCATTAGCTGAGGTTTATAAGACTATATAATAAATTTCTAATATTATTACATTAAATTTTATTCATTAGTTTTCCATCAATTGTATTCATCATTCAGGATTATGGAAAATTTTGTCAATGATTCAGTTTTTACATGTTAAGAACAGAAATTTTTTCTACTGGTTTTGCATAACTTAACCCAGACAGTTTTCCAAAAAAAACCATGTCAAACCTCTACTAATTTTTATGCAGTAATCTTTGAATTTCTTGTTTTCCGTCAGACATTGCTTATACATAGGTTTCCATGCTCATTTGATCTACTACTATGAAAAACTTTTTAAAACTTTTTAAAACTATTATTTTCAGGAAATGACATTTTATTTGTTCTTAATTCTATTATCAAGATAAAACTCTCAATTAGTTTTCTACATTTTGAAGATCAATGCAACTATATTAATGAAGGTTTCTCTTCTTCCTTAACACTTCAGGCAGGGGGGGGGGATTAAGTTCTTTTGAAATTTTAGTTCCACTTCTCAAGAAGCCCACATGATGAATAGCCCACCTATATGTGTGATGGGATGATACCACATACATAGGGTTTCCATTCGCAAAAATATTGCGCAATTTTTGCGGAATGAAACGCAAAATTTTTCTTTCTTTGTGCATCAGTTTTGCGCAAAAAAACAACAGTTTGCGCAATCAATCGCAAAAGTCATTTCGCGCAAAATTGCCCTATTCCGCTTTTGGGAAACTCAAGTTTTGCACAATTCCGCAACTAGAGTTTTGCACAATTCCGCAATTTCGTAAAAATCAAACGGTTGGTGATGGTGTGTGTTTCTTAGAATTCAATTCTGGAAAAATCTTGTTTTGGAATGTCTTCCTATTGGTCACTTTTACATAATTGACCATTGACAGTTAAGAAGAGTTCAAATCTCACAATTTTCACAACAATTTTAGTTTTGGACATGCATATTTCCTAAAAGTGGATTCTTCAGGCAATGGTTACTTTCTTGCATTATTTTATATTTGATTAAAAAGATTTCAGAAATTTTATTAAAAAAAATTAAGAATATAATTCAAACTTGATTAGGCAAAGCTTTTAAGGGTCACTTGAAATTATTTAATAGGATTAAAATATTGCCAAGTTTCACACTCTCTAATTTCTATTTTATTAATTTTGGTCTCTTAATTTAAACTTTTTGCAACTGGAAGTAACCATGTGAGTTTAGTATAATCACGTTATCATACTCCTATGTTAATATTTTTTTTATGTATGGAATAAATCTTCAGTTGTTTAATTCTAAGCTTAGAATATCAATTTTTGACAATTTGCCTAAAAAGTTACATTTTGCGTAAAACTTGTCCATCACAGTGAAATTTTTTACTTTTAATGAATAGAAATTTAAAGATTTTTTATAAAATTTTTCGTCTTATGCATAGAGTAAGGAACAGGGCAGTAAAAAGTCAGGTCTGTGGGAAAACAAATCTAAAATAGCCCATAACATTTTTGTGACAACAGCTACACATCTTAAACTATATTTATTAAAAGCCCTTGAAAATTAGATGTATAAACATGTGTCACATTTTGATATTTGTTTAAAAAACAAGAATAGTTTTTACTTTTTTCTCGTTTTTGTCAATTTTATAACCCTCCCTAGGATCAACACTATTAATGGTCTAATTTTTTTCAATGAGCAAGCTTTAAAATATTGGGCTATGAACATGCATTTCAAACCTATACCTATACTCTAAGGCCTTTTCTTAGGAGAAGTGGGTGGGAGCGTGATATGCCCCCCCCCCCAAGCTATTCATAGATTATGACCTCCCAGCCTGTTAAGGTGTTTCTGATGTTATTCTTCCTCTGAAAATTTCCGGATTATTGTTTCAAAACAAAAACCAGAATTGAAAGCTTAAATTTTAAATTTCATTCTTCATTTTCAGCTAATTTATTTGTTTCTATCACATTAGCATTATTTAATAATATTCTTCTTAAAGAAGTAAAACTCCAAACCAAATACTAAACAAATAATAATAGATTTAAATGGTGTTGAATAAACAATATTCTAAGAGACTAATATGACAATAATTCTATTTTTTCTATTTCATAACATTCAATCTATTATTCCT